TGGAGTCTCACTCTGTCACTCAGACTGGAGTGCAGTGGCCACTCTTGGCCACTGCAGCCTTGACCTGCTGGGCTCTGGCGATCCTTTCGCTTCAGGCTTCCGAGTAGTCGGAACTACAGGTGCGCGCTACCACGCCCGGCTAATTTTTTTTAATTTATTGTAGAGATGAGGTCTCACCAAGTTGCCCGGGGGGGTCTCGAACCCGCGGGCTCAGGCAATCCACTCACCTCAGCCTCCCAAGGCGCAGGATTACAGGCTGACCCACTGAGCCCAGCTATACTTTACTATCTTAATATGTTATGTACATTATACAATGGCATCAGTGTTACTCTGATCCTGATGGCCTGGATAGTTATTGCAGTGATCTTGTTCTTTCTGAGACCTCCTAATCTAAGAGGATCTAACCTACCTAGAAAACCAGTCCTTATGATGGACAAGATCCACCAGCTTCTCATGTGAACTACTTTGTGATATGTGAAGTGAAAATATTAACACCTTGCATGACCAAATGAACAAAGATGACCTGAGTACTCTTAACTCCATTAAAACTGTTTTTCCTTTGACATATGCCATATGGGATGGTGTTGTTTTCATGAGCTTTTAGAAATTTCACTGGCAAGCTTATTTTTGCTTCCTGTATTATCACCATTCCTATTTATAGTATATTAAGCTGTAATTTCTTTTAAAAATGCAAGCCTCGGGCAACCCCCTTGGGTCCCCTCCTGCTCTGGGAGCTCTTCTGCCCTCTCAATAAATCCTGCTTTCAAAAAAAATGCGAGCCTCTTGGGCAGCCTCTTTCTGTTCTAACACTTCCCCATTAAAATGAAAATCTTTTTTTTTTTTTTTTTTTTGAGTTGGAGTCTCTGTCACTCAGGCTGGAGTGCAGTAGCATGCTCATGGCCACCCCAGCCTCGGCCCACTGGGTTCAGGAGATATTTCTGCTTCACCTTTCCAAGTAGCTGGAACTATAGGCATACGCCACCACGTTCAGCAAATTTTTTGATTTATTATAGAGATGAGGTCTCTCCAGGTTGTTTAGGCTCATCTCAAACCCCTGAGCTCAGGCATTTCTCTTGCCTCTGCTTCCCAGTGTTGAGATTATAGGCGTGAGCCACTGTGCCCAGCTAAAATTAAAATCTTAGGCCAGCCACAGTAGCTCAAGTCTGTAATCCCAGCACTTTGGGAGGCCGAGACCAAGGGACTGCCTGAGCCCACGGGTTTGAGAACAGCCTGGGAAACTTGGCAAGACCTCATCTCTACAATAAATAAAAAATTAACCAGGCATAGAACTGCATGCCTGTAGTTCCAGCTACTTGGAAGGCTGAGGCAGAAGGATTGCCTGAACCCAGCAGGTCAACGCTGGGGTGGCCGTGAGCATGTCACCGCACTCCAGCCTGGGTGACGGAGTGAGACCCCAACTCAAAAAAAAAGAAAAGAAAATCTTAAAGCTGTATCAGGGTCTGTTAGGTTACTTACATTTGAATGCCTATTTATTTACCATTGAGTCTTTTGTTATCCTTCTGACTTACAAAAAAAATTATTTTTTGAGTTGGAGTCTCACTCTGTCACCCAGGCTGGAGTATAGTGACACACTCATGGCCACCCCATTGTTGACCTGCTGGGCTCCAGCTATCCTTCCACCTCAGCCTTCCAAGTAGCTGGAACTATAGGCATGTACTACCACACCCAGCTAATATTTGATTTATTTTAGAGATGAGGTCTCACCAGGCTGTCCATGCTAGTCTCGAACCCATGGGCTCAGGCAATCCACTCGCCTCGGCCTCCCAAAGTGCTGGAATTACAGGCTGAGCCACTGAGCCTGGCCACAAAAATCATTAATGAATTCTTGGTTTACTCCAAGGGAAAAGGAGGAAAATGAAAAACAATCAAGGATCTTTTTCTAGACCAAGCGCAGTGGCTCACACCTGTAACTTCCAGCACTTTGGGTGGCCAAGGCAAAAGGATCACTTGAGCACAAGAGTTTGAGATTAGCATAGGGAACATAGCAAGACTACATCTCTATAAAAAAATTAGCCAGGCGTGGTGGCACATGCTCTAGTCCCAGCTACTTGGGAGGCTGAGGTAGGAGATTCTCTTCAGCCCAGGAGTTTGACACTGTGGTGAGACATGATTGTGTACGCCAGCCTGGGTAGCAAAATGATACCGTATCAGCTGGGCTCGGTGACTCAGCCTATAATCCTGCGCCTTTGGGAGGCTGAGGTGAGTGGATTGCCTGAGCCCGCGGGTTTGAGACCCGCCTGGGC